GCTGGTGCATCTTTTTGGGGTACAACTTGGTGTACACTTCTTGGTTTACCCTTAGCATGGTTGTTCACATAGACAACACATTAATAGTGTTTAGTGTGTGCTATTTGTACATATTTATATACAAGAACTGAACAAAGTTATGAGGCGTGACACGAGATAGATAATCGATTGTCACGCTGTGTCATTATGTGACAGGCGCAACACACTAGGCACGACCAGGGTGTGACACCCCTAAAAAAGTGATGGTGGTCAAAGGCATTGCCTCGATTTTTTTTATTTTTTGACGTAATTTTTTGTATTTTCAACCAATCAAAATAATCACACCTTCACCAACTTAACCCTCGTTATCCCCCCCCCACACACATTTCAAGTCTCATAGCACATGTTTTTACCCACAGAGTACACCTGCTTACGGATCGAAGTACTTACGTGTCACCTCATAAAGCCTCATCAAACCTCGTCAATCTTCGCCATAGTATATGATCTGCTAACTAACAAGTAACACTAAAGTCAAATTCTTCTATGGTCCTAAAGTTTACACTCATTTTATGAATCTTAGTGTAAGAAAATTCACATTTCAGGCATATAACTTGGTCATACAAGCACAACTCAACACCAAAATTGTATGAAGGTTAAAAAAAGATGGGTAAGATAAAGAGACAAGGGGTTGTTAGGCCATCAAACATGGTGAAGTGAAGAAGAGGCATATATGCATATAAGGTTGGTGTAGTGGGCGGAATTGGAGCATAATAATAATAAGCATCCTCTTAATCCCTAATTAATCAAGTTAAGTTAAGAGAGGGTGGGATTCCATGTACGGTTGCCATCTACAACAGCAAATCATTTGAATTTCAAGAAAACATATAATTAATTATGTGATCGAGAGAGACTTGTGCATGTACTTGAGGTTCTTAGTCACCCTACGTGGCCAACCTTCTGCCTCCTCCTCACTTTTGAATTCATTCTCAAATTGATATGTATATATTCTCATATATGAGATCGAATTAATTAAATGACAATACATGTCAATTAAAGTGATAAGAAACTTATTTGAATGATCTAATTTACTCACTCGATGAAAAGTTTCCCATTCGATTTGATAACAATATAATGTGCCCCGAATAAATTTTTACAGTAATAATTTGAATATTAATGTCGGTAATAAGGTTCTTTTGACATGGTCACATTTTGGAGCACCTACAGTGCTATATTAGAAAAATTGATGATTCATACTACCATAACCTCACACTAAAACCTTTTCTCCCCTAGATCGTTGATTTGGCCTGCAAGGCCAAATCGGTGGTGGTCTAAGAGGGTGTGAGGCTGGGGTGCAGGGGTAGTGGGATATGGAAGTCAGGGATGGAAATCATTAATTTTACTAACAGAGCTTGTAGCTAGATGTCTTGACTCATTCTAAGATTAAAATAGCTCGAATAAAAAAAGTTGTGGTTTATTAATTTTGTTGTGGTTATTATTATTATTATTATTATTATTATTATTATTATTATTATTATTATTATTATTATTATTATTATTATTATTATTATTATTATTATTATTATTATTATCTCTACAGAGGAGTACACGTCAACGGCCGACCAAAACAAATTCAATGAACATTGTTACGGTTCAAATATCAAAGAGGATCTGATTTCCGGGGCGTGCATGCTTATATGTTAGTTATGTATGTATTTGCACGGAATATTAAATGAGGACATAATTTATGGGTGCCCACAATCCTAATTATAGGTGATAAAAAAAGGTGTCATCTAGGCATATTTCAGTTTATAACTAATTGGATAAATGTTGATATAAGCCTAAAAATTTTAATGAAATACTCCCTCCCTCCCTCCCATAAGTATCTACACTTTACATAAAAAATGAAGTCAAATTTATTTAAAAAATTTTCAACTCATTTCATTTAAAAGTTTGTACAAATATATAATATAATTACAAATAAAAAATGGAATATAGAAAAGGAAGATAGTTTTTGTGATTTTGGAATTGTAAAAAAGAAAGATAATTTGGGTTAAACCGCATGAGAGAAAACAATTTTCTTTTTTTTATTCCAAATTCTTTAATACTCAAATGGGCGAGCCGGCCCAAGCCCGAATTGTATATGGGCGGATCTGGAAGTTACTTTTAGCCCATCTGGGCCAACAGGCCTACCCATATTTATCAAATATATTTACTTTATTATAAATTACCTAGCCAATATAAATTTTAAAATTTTCTATAATTCATGTATAATAGTTTAATTCACTCACCTCTTTCAAAAAAATCAATACTCTTTTAATGAATCAGTATGATGGGTTTATTAATTATGCAACAATATCTCTATTATGCTTTCTATATAAATGTGGTGATTGGTTATTTTATTTTAAACATTAAAAAAGAGTTCAATGTTTTTTTAAAATTTTTTATACAAAAAAAAATTTCTTGATGTTTTACCCAGGCGGCCCAGTGGGCAGTCCGGCCCGCAAAGATGGGCGGGTATGGGTAATGAATTTAGCCCATCAAATCCGGGCCGGGCCAGGCCCGCCCATGTAAATGGGCTAATAATTTATATCAAGCCCGGCCCAGATCCGGCCCGGATCCTTATTTGCACAGGTCTACTAGAAGTGAATAGGTAGATCTTCGTTGCTTGATGAACAAACTTGGAGGTATGTTTGCTGAGTTTTTTTCGAGGAGAGTGTTGGTGATTCAAACGAGGGTGGGGATTTTTCTTTCTTTCTGGTTTAAAGGCTTTCACATACGCCTTAAGAAAAGGTTTGAGTAGACCTGACAAAATAGAACCGGAATCGATTACCCGAACCAAAATATCCAAAACCGAAATGATTCGAAAAATGAAGATCCGATCTATAACCGAAAACCTGAAATGATCCGAATTGAACCGAACCGAACTAAATAATTTATATCTGATTTAAATCTGAAACCGATTAGATCCGAAACCGATAATATCCGAACTGATTAAATCCGAAACCGATTAGATCCGAAACTGATAATACCCAAAACTAATAAAACTTAAAACCGATTAGGTCCGAAATCGATAATATCCGAACCCGATTAGAACTAAAACCGATAAATTCGGAACTGTGTTTGCCTTTTAATAAGCATATTATACTTTTAAATTTTTACTTTTATTTTACCATTTGAACTAGTTACATTACTCGCTCATCCACTCATAAAATGGATTATCATCTTGAAAAAAGTACAAAATTTCATGCCTTAAATTTGTTATATTTAGAAATTGAAAATAAGTTATACATGTAAATGATAACGCACAAACAAATAAAATTCTCCGTAATTTTTAAATAGTGAAGTGTGATATTTTTTTTTGGACGAAAGGATTATATGATGAATTGTATGGAATAACTAGATTTTATGCTAATTTCATCCAATTACAATAAATTTTATTGGTTTGAAAGTTAATTTGTTTAGTTTCGAACCAATTCACTCAATATTAGTCAATAACATTAGATGTTAGTGTAAGCATTTTGAAAAGACTCTCTAGCGGCAGCATTTAGTGCTATCATTTTCAAATTTGATCCACACCATTACATTTAGGTGTAAAATTAATTACATTTGACTCTATTAAATTTAATTTTATCTAATTTCAACCAAATATACTCAAAATATTTTTAAATTTTGCACTCAATTGAATAAAATTTACTTAAATTCACTCAATTTCACTCAATTTTTACCAAATTGTATTCAAATGGAATATATTACAATATTTGAATTTATCTTTTATCTTTTCATTTATAAACATAAATATATTAGTAGATGTGAGAAAAATTTGATATATCAAAACTAAATTTTAAAATCAATTTAATTATATTAAATTTATATCATAATTAACTATATATTTTTTCATAGTTTGTAGTCCAAATTTGTAAATTATGACTAAAAAGTCAAAAATGGAAGATTATTTAGGGTAGAGATAATATCATTAGAAAAAAATATAAAATAATATGAGGTATTGAATTGATGATAGATTGATAAATGTGATAAAGCTTAAAAAAACATGAATAATTAAATTTTAATTAGAAAATAATATATATCCAAAATATATTTGATCCGAAACCGAAATATATACAAACTGAACTATACCTGAAACTGAAATTTATCCGATTCAAATTGTATCCGAACCGAAATATATTCGAATCGATTTATAATCGAATCGTATCTGAACTGACTTGAAACCAAACCGAACCGAAAAATGTATAGAACCGAATCAAATCCAAACCAAAATTAAATTGATCTGATCCGAACCAAATCGATTATAACATATATCCGAAAGATATCTGAACCGAAAAAATACAACCCAAAACCGATCCGGTTGACCCGATTGCCACCTCTAGGTTTGAGGCCTCGAATGAAGCTATCTAAAAAGTGGTTAGGAGGAAGCAATGAATTTTTCATTAACATACAGGCCCTCAACCCCTCAAATTTATCAACATAGTCTTTTAAGCTCTTTGTTTGCTTCCATTGGTTAATGTATTTCTTCCACTACTTTTTTAATCTCATTTCATCCTTAAATTTGACACTCAAGTCTAACATAAAATTCCCCCACATTATGTTTTTTTCTCCCCATAGTATAGCTATTATACCATATTTTAGCTCTAGCAGTCATGTACGAGGAGGCGAGATGAGTTTTTCTAGCACCTGGAATTTGACACAACAAAAAACTTTACACATTTCTTAATCTCAATCCGCACATTAGAGCCATCAAATTGGGAAAATTCTACCCTGGTGTGGAAGTGTAGTGGTGTGTGATTTTGATTGCCCATGTCTATTACGGAAAAGGGAATAACAATCACGGAAGACATGTACAAATGGTGTCTCCTCCTCCACAACGTGATTAGCCGATCGAGCAATGACGCAGCAAACTGCCTTCTTCTTCCTCTCCTGCACTATATAAGAAGACCTAACCTTCTCATTTCTCCACCAAGATGAGTGAAATTAGTACCATTGTATTCCTGAGAGTGAGGGGAGCAAGACGTAGTAGATCACCGCCAGAGCTAGCCACAATCTTGGTCGGAAGTTTTGGCGGAAAATTTCCAAAACCTCCAATTTAGCCCGAGGTAAGCCCTTAGATATATCTATTGATTAGAATGTTCACATAGATCATTTCTACGTTCATAAATGGTAGTTTGGTTAAGTTTTATGTTTGACATGCTTCAAGAACCAAAAATCATAAACCTCGAAATGGTTGTTAAAACCTTGAATTAATGATGCCAAAATGATCTATGAACTTTGAAGAACATTTCTATATAGTTAAATTGAAGTTTGATGGCTAAAAATGAATTTTTTCGAAAATTGGCTTGAGGTTGAAGATGGCACTGTTCAAACTTCGTACAGAAACGATAATGAGCTAGCGCCTAGACGGTACCAAGGTACCGCCTAAACGGTAGGTCATACCGTCGGTAACAGTAGCTAGATACCGTCTCAACCAAGTTTCTCTGGCGGTACCAATCACCAGGCGGAACACCATACCGTCTAGACGGTACTGAGGAACGTGTACCGGCACCATGGTATCGTAATGAGTACCGTCTGAACTGAGAATTTTTCCACAAACTTGATTTTTACACTGTAAAATCCTATTTTTGATGCCACACAACTATAAATCAGTATGAATATCATTTTAGAACTAAATATGATGTTAATAATTCAAGAAACTTAATGGATGCATGACAATATGCTAAGGTGTTAACACTCGATGCTAGGTCACTATTTGTTAGGAAATATTATGATGCTATTTTTGATTATTGATTATGATGATTGAACCATGATTAAAAAAATACAAATATCGTGATTAAAATGATGATTATGAAAATTATGTTGAAAATTAAGGCTATCTAGAAGAATTTTAAGATAGACCCAATGTGACTTAGTTAATTTGGGCCTTGCGCGTATGAAGTCTTGTGGCGTGGGTAAAAATGTATGTATGGGATCTAAAAACTAAACTAGAGGATAACTCGTTTAAGGATACCACCCACCCGAAGTGAGTAGTCTGTTGTTCGGTTATTTGAGCATGAACTATAAAGACTTGAAATGAATAGGTCATGATTTTGTATTCTGCCTTGAACTAATACATAGTTTAAGAGCCCCGTTATTTATATTTGCCTTAGACTAAGAATAGTTTAATAGCTCTGTTATCAATTTGAATTTTGCCTTAGATGAAAAATAGTTTAAGAGCACTGTTGACATTATGAATATTCAATATCTGAACTGAATATTATGTGCATGATACCAAATGATTTGATTATGAATTGAGATTCAACTTATATGGATGTTCGATGCGTTAGACATCCTTACTCAACTTCACTGCTGAGCGTATAGTATATTTTATTTGTTACACGCAGGTAAATAGAAAGAATGAAGTACCATGATTCTGGCGGCAAACGGGAGTGAGATTGTCGGGATGGATGTGATGGTTTTGAATTGTTATTTTCAAAAGAAATGAATTAATTATATTTTGTGATTGTAAAGCTTTTGCAACATTGAAAACTCTGTATTGTTTCTGTTATGAATATTATTCTATGATGAATAAAAGTGTTTAATATATTTTAAATTTTATGATTTCCAAGTTTATACTTTAGTCTGAAAGGGGCTGTAGATCTGGACGGATTAAGGTGTTACAGTTTGTCATAATAATGGCATAGTCCCTTAGACATATTTTCTGTCCTAACTAGTGTTGGTATGAATCTGGGCTGATTCACTACATGTAGAAATTTTGAAGGTTTAGTGGGAGTAGGTGTTGCTAAGAGTCCTTTTCTACTACTGAACGATGGTTCATTTGTCTTGTTAGGTACTTTAATGAGATGTACAATCTCTTCTTGGCGTCTTGCATACTCAAAACCCTCTGTCACAAATCACAAATCCAGGTTTAAAGGCTCTCACATACGCCTTAATATGATGCTTGAGGCCTCGAATGAAGCTGTCTAAAAAGTGATCAAGAGGAAGCAATGAATTGAAGTTTTCATCCACATACATGCCATTAACCCCTCAAACTTGGCAACAGAGTCTCTCTTAAGCTCTTTGTTTTTTCTTTCGTTTGTTAACTTCTTCCACTATTTTTTTTCTCATTTCATCATTAAACGTGACACTCAAATCTAGCATAAAATTCTCCTCATAGTCTAGCTATTATACCATATTTAAGATCTAGGAGTTATGTACAAGGAGGCGAGATCAATTTTTCTAACATCTGGAATTTGACACAACAATAAAAACTTTACACATTTCTTAATCTAAATCCGCACGTTAGAGCCATCAAATTGGGAAAATTCTACCCTAGTGTAAAAGTGTAGTGGTGTGTGATTTTGATTGCCCATCTCTATTACGGAAAAGGGAATAATACTTTCATTACTCTTTCACCAATACACTAGCCATATACATTGACTTCAAGACACGTACAAGCAATAGTCACCACAACTACTGTAAATAAAATGAGGAGGGTAATCTTACACCAACTCAATTACTGTAAGATTGTTACAATGATTCATTTGAAGAAATACAGTGATCAGATCATAAAATTGATGTTCTTACTCCCCTCCAAAAAATCCTTAATACCCGCCATGTCACTAATGCATTCCCGCCCGCCTTTAATAGCACCAACCAACTTTTGAATCAAAAATTTAACCATAAAGTTAATAAAAACTTAGTTGGTGCAATTGTAGAGATTGCAAGAGTGCTTTAGGGGCACACTAGGCAAGAGAAGTTTACTAGGCGTTGGTGTAATAATTTCATACCAATCGAGTTGGTGTAAGATTACACTTCTAAGATTACACTTCTCAAATACTCTGGAAAATAAAAACATTTGTAAAAATAGTGGGAGTTAAATATAATAAGTGATAAAGTTGGGCTATACCAGTTCAAACTCACATAAAATTACTCCTGTGTACTCTCAATTTCTGATAATAACTTTCAAGTCCCACATTATCTGGAATATACCTCGGGATACTCGTGATTTTTTGTTAAGAGCTCTTAAATTCGACATTATCCAAAATATATTTCGGGATCTTTAAAATTTGTGATATTATATTTCAAGGATACATTCTGTCTATTTAGACGTTAGGATTGAAAAATCTATTACTTTGACACATTAAAAGATTTTATTTAAATTTAATAAAATAATGATTCCCTAAGTAAAGTTTAGTACTCCGTATTTGTCATAGTAACAAAACATTTAATCTTAATGGGCAAATAGATAGGGGCCTTGTTTGGGAACAACGTTTTCGATTAGCGTTAGCGTTTTGGATAAAATTTAAATGGTGTAGATTAAATCCGAAAACACTAACTCTAAAGGCTACCGTCGGATAGCCTTTTCAAAACGCTAACCCTAATAACTAACGATGATGTCAAACGGGGCCAGGATGTACCATTGAAATATATTATTACTAATTTTAAGGACCTCTCAAATATATTTTGAATAATGTAAAACTTGAGAGTTAATATTAAAAAAATTTAAAATATTACAAAATATATTTTTGATAATGTGAGATTTGTGAGTTATTAGAGAAAATGGTAAGCTAGTAATTTTTTGGCAAATTCATCTCACATTTTCACCTTGCCCGCATCTCATCCCAAGTCCGATTCGTATCTCCGTCTACAACTCTCCAAGAAGGCTCCAGTCTGGAACTGTGCCCACCTCTTTTTTTATTAGAGTAGTGGCACTACGGTTCTGTCTCCCGTTGCCGCGGCTACAGCTCTGCCTGCAGCAACAACGGCATTCACTACCAACGCGGTAGAAACGTTCCGGCGACGACAACCTACTAGCGGCGGCGGCAGGGACTGCTCGCCCCTTCTTTTGTCTCCAAGGTACGAGTAATTTGATTTCATCTCAGAGCCTTGTAATTCCGGCGATGGCTGCCTTAAACTTTTGATTTCACTTCAATTATCTCTCAACGCTTTTGTTTCAGATTTCTGAATCCATTCAATTTCTTCCGGATTTCACAAACCATTCTGTTTCAACCCTTCTTTGCTCGCCAGACGGCCAATCAACTTCGGATTTCTGAATCCAACCCTAACCCCAAATTCTCTTTTCGTTGGTGGAGTAACTACTTATTACTGAGGTATTTTTCAAAAATATCACGGGGGAAAACCAATTTGGTAATTCAAGGCTGAAAAGTACCAGTATTTATTTCAAAGTCGACTTTAGCCGTTTTGAGTTCTTTCCCCCTACAAAAAGTTTAATAGGATGTCCGCATTCCAGTTTTGGCACTGCAGAATTTGAGTTTCACCCTCCTCTCTCCTCTTTTTCTTTTTCTTTTTGTTTTTGGTTCACATTTTTGCAGCCCAGAAACAATGGAGTTCGATAAGAGCAAATTTGATTTGCAATTAAATCTGTGGGCGCTTCGGGTTCCATGCCAACATTGCAAAATTGCTGCACGAATATTCAATGGGTACACCATTATTTTTATTGTTTCAGCATATTTCAGAGAAAAATAAGTTCTTTATTACACTGAAAACATGTTCATGTAGTGTACCCAGGTAATGCAGGTAATTTTTAGTGGTTCTAAAATACCGGGTTTTGTTTAACTACTTTTTTTCTTTCCAATTTGGCCATTTTGAAAGGGAGTGACCGAGTGAAGAAGATACCATTGAGTATAGTATAGACCATATAGCCTTTTAGTTGAAGGATCCGGGAGAGAGGCATTGCAGTATGTGGGATGAGGCGGACCTTTCTCGGACATGACCTCTGATTGGAGTTCCTAGATACTATTTATTTGGGTGGTAGAGCTCTTGTAGGTGCTGTGTGANACCCAGGTAATGCAGGTAATTTTTAGTGGTTCTAAAATACCGGGTTTTGTTTAACTACTTTTTTTCTTTCCAATTTGGCCATTTTGAAAGGGAGTGACCGAGTGAAGAAGATACCATTGAGTATAGTATAGACCATATAGCCTTTTAGTTGAAGGATCCGGGAGAGAGGCATTGCAGTATGTGGGATGAGGCGGACCTTTCTCGGACATGACCTCTGATTGGAGTTCCTAGATACTATTTATTTGGGTGGTAGAGCTCTTGTAGGTGCTGTGTGAATATGTTTTTAGTGTTGGGGGGGGGGGGGTTTGTTTTATGGAGTAACTGTTTTTTCACTCACACTATGGGTCATTGTTTGGCGGTTGCTCTCAGAAGCAACCTCTAGCCCTCCACACTCCTTGGAGACTTGGAGTAGAGGTAAGGTCTGCACACTTCTTTTCCCCTAGATACTATGCTTGAGCCGGACATACTGGGTGTGTTAGGTTTGATTTGGAAAGGGAGCGGGTCAAGGTAGATGGATTGTGAATCTTCGTCTACTTCAGTTCATTTCATGTTTTATTTGTTGTTTATTAGTTTCTAGACAGTTTGGTGACCAAGAACATGTCTCCTGTTTTAGATATATGCTCAACAGGCCCCGCATAAAGCCTATAATGGAAGATCCTACAAGTGAAAAGAACCGTTACTTAATTTTATCTGAAAACATCCAAAGTGCAGGTAAATGATGCTACACTATATGTGTAATAGAGGATGAGACTAAACAATTACACATTATATAACCATGGCCAAAGTTTCTTCATGAGTTGAATAAGACAATGTGGTGAAATGTCAGCCCTTTCCTAACATACCTACTTTCCCAAATGAAACAGATCTATCAGAAGTTCCAGCTCACAAGCTTGCTGAACTGAAAGCCCTTTGCAAGATCGAAGTTGTCCCTTATTCACTGACTTTGGGGTATTCATATTGGAGTGCAGGTTACATACAACTCGTTTCATACATACAAAATTTTCGTTCCCCTTCATGTTTGATATATTTGTCTTTGATTAATTAATATGATACTCCCACCTTCCCAAATATGATCTTCCCAATTCCAATGTGACAATGATACAAATTTTAAGACTAGGTTGACAATTAGATTTTGAGGGGTTATTTATTGGGGAAAATGACTATTTAATAAGACGTGGGTAGATTTTATGTTCGGTAGTTGAGGGGTGAAAGTAACATTTCCATAGTATAAATTATTCAAAGAAAGTAATGTGAAGATTATGATTTTGGAATAGCTATTGCTAAAAGTAGAAAGTGGGAAGATGATTCTGGACAGGTGGAGTATATCATTTTCTTAAATTCAAACATGCTTCCAAGAATTAAATATTGACCTAATTTAGTTTTTAAAAGGTATCATTTTTTGACTTAAGTATTTCATTGCAGAGCATATACTAAAACAGATTCTGCCTACTGGACTTGAAGTTCCATCTTCATTCGAGACAGTAGTTAAGTACTCTGTACTTCATAATGTGTACTGATTTTCTGTGTTTTACTTTCCTCCTCCTTGCCCTTCTACATTACCTCTTCGGCCTCACCACCACCCNCCCCCCCCCCCCCCCCCCCCCCCCCCCCGTCAACTTAATGTTCGGATTACAAGCTTGCAGCATTGGAACTATCATTTTTGGATTCCTGATAATATTGGGATTACATGGCATTTGTGTGCAGGTCATATTGCTCATTTGAACATTACTGACGAGCTGCTTCCTTACAAGGATGTGATTGCAAAAGTAATCTATGATGTATGTTTACTTAAATTCCTTTTTATGACAATAAATCTAGGTCGATTATTATTATTATTATTATTATTATTATTATTATTATTATTATTATTATTATTATTATTATTATTATTATTATTATTAAGGTTGTAAACAATGTTCAACCTTTCCCCTTTCAATCATTGAATCTATATTTAGATTTATGCATCATATATTACAATTTCATACGAAGTATTTCTATTTACAAGCACATTACATGTGTAAAAACAAAAGTTGATTTCGTTAGGTCCTTGATGTGATGCTGCAAATTATGCATTTACAGGCACATTGCGTTATAACTGCAAATTGTGAACCTTAATCAAATGTCACTTTTTTTCATTGGGGGATAGGAGCATATAATATAAACTAAACGTTGTGAGCTGAACTGCTGATATGCTCATAATAGGAAAGGTGTGAGCACATACCACTATACCAGATTTTCACCATAATCCTAAGCTTTCACAATTCTCATTCTTCATTCTTTCTCTTGCTTAGACTTTTTTTTCATTGTTTCATGAAATCTTTCCTATTCTTGAAATGCTATAAAAAGAGCTGCTTTTTATGTGATTTTGCTGTCCGAAATGTTGACAAAAACTGAAGGGATGGGGTGTCTCGCATGAGAAAAAAATAGAGAAACATAATTGGTATATGCCTTAAGTTGAAAGCAATTCACTGGCTTTTTATGATTTTTAAAAATAAAATTCCTCTTTCAGAAAAATTACCCCAGAATCCAGACAATTGTCAATAAAGTTGGAAGCATCACAAATGAATTTCGAGTTCCAAAGTTTGAAGTGCTAGCGGGGAAAGCTGATATGGTTACTGAGGTAAAGCAATACGGAGCGACATTCAAGCTTGATTATGGAGTGGTGTATTGGAATTCAAGATTGGAACATGAGCATCTAAGGCTGGTCTCGCAGTTCAAGGCCGGAGAGACCATATGTGACATGTTTGCTGGAATTGGTCCATTTAGTATTCCAGCTGCACAGAAAGGTTGCAGAGTGTATGCAAATGATTTAAACCCAGACAGTGTTTACTATCTGAAGCTTAATTCTGAAATCAACAAGGTTAAGGATCTAGTCTTTGCATATAATATGGATGCGAGAGAATTTGTATCTCTACTGATGGCTGCACCTTCCAGTGAAGGCAATTTGGAATCTGATGTTCTGTTGCAACCTTCTACGACAAGCGATCGCATTGCTGCAAATGGAGTAACAATGTCTGAAGACATAAGTGTATCAGGTATGTAATTTAACCTGCATTTTATATAAACCTTTGATGCGAAGTTAGAAATAATACTATCTCCTTGCAGATGAGTTGAAACAATTTCCAGGCAAAAACTCAAAGAATATTGAGAGTGTTGAAGGGCATGATGACCCATTTGTTAGGATAGAGGCAAATGCGACTGCTGCTAAAAGACATTGTGAGAGTTCTCAAGGTAGTTGTATACTATTACTATGGTTAAGTAAAGGGAAATACGGAGTATAAGTTAATTCTTATATTTTTCAACTCTGTTGGAGGATCAAGATATACACAATATTACCCCTCTAAAAAAATGGAGGTTGTATCCATTAGACCCTTGATGCTTTGATGCAGTTACTACCCAAAACTTCATAGGAATTAAGAAGCAATGAAAATTTAATGTGTCATTTTTATTTAGTCTAATATTTTCTCGAAGCTAAAAGCCTAAAACATTGTCAATACTCATAATGACTCTTGCATCCCCTGTTAATTCCATTTCACTTTGCAATGCTTACTAAAATATAAATGGTTTAATTATTTGCATTTTGAAGGAATTGATGCTGTTGAAGGTAGCAGTCCTCTGGTTCATACAGGAAAGAGAGGGACAAATAAGAGGATTAGAATTTCGGATCAATTTGACACAAATCCATGGGAGCATGTGGATCATGTTATCATGAACTTGCCAGCCTCTGCACTGCAATTTCTTGGTAATCTGCTTTATCTATTTTTTCACTCTTGGAATTTTGCACTTCTTGATTTCACTTATATTATTTGTGTGCGAAAATTATTTCTTGATCAAATTTCTCCAACAGATGCGTTTAGAGGCCTAATAGAAAGGAAACATTGGAAGGGCTCTTTACCTTGGATTCATTGCTATTGTTTCATGCGCTCAACAGAGACGACAGAATATATAATTTCAGTAAGTTTCATTGTGCTTCTATTTCGGAGTTCTTTGTTACAAAGAAGTTGCTTTGTTTTTTCTTGTTTTTGGAGACGAGGGAGTGGATTCCCTACACTGGATGCAAGTATAACACATGGTTTTTAAAACTAGGTCCCATTTTGTTTGCCTCTTTTTTTTCTCATTTGCAGGAAGCAGAAACTGCCTTGAATGCTAGTATACCAGACCCAAAACTTCACCGGGTTAGAGATGTTGCTCCAAACAAGGTACTAATCTGCACCACCCCATTACTAACTACTACGTAATTTTTAAGAAAACAATAAGTCAGTTTTAGGGTATCATTATGTGCAGGCAATGGTTTGTTTAAGTTTTAGATTGCCAGAGGAAACCTGTAAAGATCACAAAGTCAACCACAACAGCCCTTTAACTAATGCTGATTGACGGTATTGGAATTTCATCACATTATTCTTTCTTAAGCTGCCTAAAACTTCTCTACTTTTTTTTTGTAAGAATTCATAGCGTTGACTAGTTTTAGACAAATAATTGAACCTAATTTTCATGCCAACCTGTTCAACTAGTCGGGATTAAGGTGCTAGCTACTAAGAAACAAAGATGGTATTATGGAATGGAAGAACTTATATATCAAGTGTTTAGCAATTCAGACAATAAAATCTTCTTCCACCTTTATTTCTTCATAAGATATAAACTAAAGAGTAATAAAAATGAAACACGACAAGATTATCGTTTCCCTTTATTTACGTAAGATCAATGGTAACTCAAGTGCAGCAGAGGCATTCCAAACAGTCTTCACAGTTCTCATGGCAGCAAAAGCAGCAACAAAAAGCAAAAACCTGCAGTTTTTTTCTTTCTTAAAAAAATATCAGACATATATTCACCCAAATAAGAAAAGTGTAAATTGAAAAAAAAGGAAACGAACAAACCAGGCATAAATGCGTCCTTTCTCTTCGCATCGCTGACTGATCAATTCACGGTACGATTCTATTTTAGATGATGGCTCAACCATTTTGTTCTCCTTCCAAGGTCTTCTCCTCCTGTTAAACTCTAAAGCTTAAATGAAGATGTAATATTATGAGTATAAATTTGTGAAGCTAATTGATAATTTAAAGGAATCAATGTAGACCATAGGGCGTGGCTGTAATGTGGTTTGTAGAATTATATTTGGGGCCAAGGAAATGTGATCTTCATTCTTGACTTTGATTTTTTACTGCAGCTTCTACTCTTGGGTAAATCTGGTTTATGATCTCACTTGAGAGTAAGTCACATGGTGCCACCACCCAACCTTAGTAAACAAGTTTTTCTTACCGTGCAATGCTTTCTCAACGTCTTAATGTAGACATGACAAATTTAAATTTCGCTCATTTTTAACCCGTGACTCTGAAAACACTAGGTTTGAATAACGATTTCACGACGTTGAAATACAATCTTTTCTCATCCTCCGAGCATTAATGTTGGACTTTGGGTGATCATTTTGTTGATGTGACCCTTGCCACGCCGTAGGGCAATTTTCCTACGCTTAGTGTGTCCAATCAATGTCGCTCCACGTTGGCTGTCGCACATATCCAGGAATGTATAGATTGGTGATGCCTATAAATAAATGTACATAATGTACATAATATATTAAACTAAAAATGATGTACATATGTTTGAGTTAAAAAAATTACTTTTAGAAAAATGATAGAGACTATCACGAGAAATTTTGTCTGACATCTTCAAATACTCGTCACATGAATCGCTTGTCGTGCCGTAGCGCTTGTGCACTTCTGCAGTGAAGTGAATCCCTTTGCTCCTAATAGCATCTATCCGTTGGTGAAAAAAGGGAGAATGATTCTCCATGTTGCTGAAAATAGAATTTAATAAATTGCAACTCATCTAAAAACGACAATTAAATTGATCTTTGTTATAAACTAGAGTTTCTGAAAAATAATCTTCAATAAGGCGTTGGTATAATTTGCAGCCCCACCCCCACGGTCGCGGTTGATCCTTCTCTGATGTGTAATCTCTTGGGAAGAACTTTCATTAGTAAGAGCCACGATAGTGCTTACTGTAGCTTTAACGCAACGCAAAGATATATCAAATCGTCGTCGTCGGAAGACGAGAAGTGATTGTTTTCTTCATCTAAATTCATTTTTTTTGGAATATGTAGTGGATTTTGGGAGTAGGTACACATTCATTTCTCCTCAATTTATAGATTTGTTTTGGACCTAATGACGGCTAACGGCTATTTCCTCGAAAATCTAGCCGGCAACGCCCGTGGTGGCCATCCAGCCCCATGCGTCATGCCTCCGCCACACCGTGACGGACACAATGACGCCGCAGGTCAAGCCCGATAACACATGTCCTTAGAAATTAACAAATTTGCTACTCGTATAGAATAGTTTTTTTGTCACCGTATTATTTATCAACGATATTTTCATTCTTAAAAATCCATTACGCATTTAACCATTTTTTAGATTTCATCTCATTGTTCATTAAAGATTGCTAGTACAAGTTAATTTTTTGTTATTATGTTTTATTTTCATATCATGAACTTATGGTGTTTTTTTTATATATTAGAATTGCACTGCAAGTGTGATGACAGATGTAGCGATTAGAAGTGGTTCTAGGCAGGACCCCAAATATTTAAGACTTGAAAATTTCTCATGTTTGTGGGTATAAATACAATATATAAATACTTAAACAAAAAGACGTGGTATTGTATATTATAGACACAATCATATATTTCAGTATATATAATTATTTATATCTAGTCTGTCATTATTAAACAAATTCATTGTAACTAAAAATATGATTTAAATGATAAGAAACACAATAATCATTATGTATTAAAGAAAACCCTCGTCTAAATTGTGACATGATTAATGCTACTGATGTTATGATAAAATGGTTTAGTGGTATGCATGTTAAGCTAAGATTGTGTATGAATTTGTCAACAAATTAACATTGACAAAGACATTAATTAATTAGCAACGTCTAAATAAGCTTGACAGTCCAAAATATTCCAGGGATCATTTATATAGCTAGTGACGTGATTATGTGATAGCTAGCTAGACTATATTAACTGGACAATATTAATTAATGATAATGATGATCAGGGATCATATCATATCCAATAATATATATCATGACAGCTATATATATGCTCATTATTTGTTTTACAAATTTGGGGTCTCTTTCAACTGAATTTATAGGGTGAGTGGGGAAATGGCTTCCGGAAGTCATTTTCTCATTTTTCTGGTATTCTCTATTTTGTAAAATAAGAAATAGCAAATCATGATATTCGAAGAAAACGGATAATAATGCTTATTTAAAGAGAACTGATTTTCATTTTTTTTACAGAAGGCATTTTCCACAATTTCTCATTCGTAATTTAATTTCAATATACAGTTTATGATATTCGACTGAATTTATTTTAAATTTAATTTATTTCATTAATAGCGTAAAAATAAAAAAAATAGGTATGGAGAGTGTATATTATAAGCTCTATAAAACAAAGATTACTTTTATTTATCAAATATTTTCCAAAAGTATCGAAATAAAAATTTTCATGTATATTTTTTAAATAAATATTAAAAGATGTTCAAGGTAAGAGTATGAATATTTAAAAAACAAGAATCATAATATTTTGGAATAGAATATTTAGAATAAAAAAAATTCATGATATTTATTCAAATCTTTTACTAATTATACTCTTTAAAACAAATATGTAACAATAAATGGTTGATACATGAAGCAGTCTAATAGGCCATTCTGGACCGACTCGGTGACCGGTTCAATAGTTTTGGGGTTGAACCGGTCGATCCGGTTCTATTTTTAAAAGTATCTGGAACAAATCGAATGATAAGAAGTAAATTAATTTTTAATCAGAGAACTCTTATTTACTCATTTACAATAATTTCTAAACCAATGGTATTGTGTTAAGATATGATAAAAAGTTTTTATACCTATAAAAAGATATACTGAAAGTCAATATATCACCCATGGTTGACACTAATCTTAAGATGGAAGTATCATTTATGTTGAAAATTAAAGTGGAATTAAAACATATTTCACCCATGGTTGTTTAGATTTTTTGGGGCCGATTCTCAAAAATAGTGAAAATAATAAAATTACTAATGACTTCGTCAAAGAATAGTTTTTTATTTAGCAACATTATTGCGTAAAATCCTGAGTAATATATATTAAAGAGCATCCCACATCGGAAAAGTGTGAGGAAATTAATCGGTATATAAGCTCTTGAGTTGAACTAAGTAATCGATTGGATTCAATCTTTTAATGTGGTTCAGCCCAAGTGTCTTATAGTCTAATCCAGTTGTCCATACTCATCCTAAATTTTATCATACAAGTTCGAAACATCACAAATATTAATTAGAGGAACAAAAACCCATTTCAAAAAATCACACTCAGTATCAAATGCTCGAGCTTAAAGATACATGAGCATTCTAATTCAACTGACTTCCTAAGAGAGAGATAGAGAGAGTTTAGCCCTGCAGCATTAATCTTAGACCAATTGCTAAGGTCTCTAGGATAAGTGTAAAATTTATAATTCTATGAAAAGATACTCATTTTTTTCATCAAATAAATAATGATTTACATGTAAATTAGTGTATAATTGTTACTCTGTTTGAATTAAATGCACAATCAAATAAGGTTTGCAATATCAAGTGACTTTAAACTTGTCAAATAAAACTCTCTTTTCAAAACTAAAGGAGGTTCTATTTAAATTATTTTTTACTAGAAAAAATATTTATAATTTTAGTATTACATGGTCAAACTCTTATCTTCTTGCATTGCTTTATAAACATTGGATATTGGTATGTAACTACTACGGAGTAGTTTTTTATTTTTACACCAATTGTCATATAATTCAAATTGAAAATACTTTGCATTCGGAACTTTTTTACATGATTAAGGGAGCATTGGATTATGATACAAATTTAAGATCTTTATTTGTATATTGAAATACAGAGTGAAAATAACATATTTTTATAAAAAGATTATTTTTCTATATAAATAATTTAAATTGTGAAAATAACTTTTATATCACGTGAAAAGATCAAGTATTTACTTTTTTTCCCATTGGTTTTGTTTGTAACTGTATGCTTGCTTAAGAGATCATTATGGCTTTTGTGGTATAACAAAAGTTAAATAAACATGAACACAAATTAGGTCTACATTCATTCATTTTTATTATTTTAATACATCAAAAAAGCAAAAGTCAGTGAAGTATGTTCTATGAGAAAGCTATTTTTTTATACCGCAGGCTAGCTAGCTAGGCTTGTTTAAATAAACTCACAACAACTAGGAATCACCATTCATCTTCCAATCATGAAAGAAATCACAATGGCAGTATCTAATATTCTAAGAAGGTGTTATTAGCAGATGGAAAACCTTTTAGAGTCCTATTTACAGCCATATTTTCTGATCAAAAAAATGTTTTGCTTTCATAAAGAGATGAAGAAGAAGAAGAAGAAGAAGAACAAAAGGGTTGATCAATCAGAATAGCTAATTAACAGGGCAGACACTGGTGGATAAACTCTGAACAGCTATCTCAAGGTGTTCCCATGTCGATCTTCGCCTCCTTCTCCATTTCATGAAAGACTCTTCTGATGTTTAGTGACTGGTTTCGAATGGCTTTGCTCCAATGGTTCTGGCTGTTCCTCTCCAATGCTGACAAAACTATGGGAACGGTCGCGCGCTCCGCATGCATGATAAGTTTTAGGACGCTTTCGTTTCCCCATAAGAGATGTGCTCGTTCGGCCACCTGAAAATGCCAGACCAAACCACTAACTCCATCAGTATGAGGCCTTTTGGGAAGTGCCCAGAAACATGACTTGATGCAAGGAGGAAATGAGAGAGATTTATTGTACCTGGAAGTGGAAACTGTTGAGGCAAGATCCTATACGCCGAAATAGAGGGGTCGCGATCTTCTCAAACTCAGAGAAGCTTATCATTTCCAACACCTCTTCTATCTCGCCGATGAACATTACCTCCTTTTGGCTATTGGTCAAAGGCCAATACCTCAGGAGTCTTGTGATCACTTCGCTAGCAAGACTCTGCTCCTTTTTGACAAACTGCACAACGCAGTACGTGAGCTGTTGATGATACACACCTAATGACTTTGGCTTGTGTAAAGGAATTAAAGCTCTAGAGAAGATCGACTTGTGCTCCTCCTTTAGTGGCAAGGCGAAACCGGTTATGACACTCCCAAAAACCTCCAACAGCTCTGCTATCCCATTGTGACGCTGAGTCTCAAAAACAAACCGATAAAATGAGTTACTCATAGCTTTTCTGATAAAGGGTCTGTGCGTCATAAACTTCCCATAGAGTCTGTGAAGGACTGACTTCAAGAACTCTCTTTCCCTTGGGTCATCGGATTCAAACAGATTTAGCAGTTTTGTAATGAAAGAATGGTCTATAGATTTCTTGGCGACCTTCGGGTCAAGAGAACTTAGGCTCAGGTAATGAAGAAAGAGATCATAGACAAGCTGCAAATGGTGCCAGGCAGGATAAAAGAACTGTTCTTCTTCGTCTACGAAATCACCACGACCATACTTTGGCGGGAAATCTCTGAAGAGGTTAACTGCGCACATTCTACAAACTGCAGCTATTGCTGGTTCAGTGGTGCATTTAGCTGATCCGGAAGTGACATAATCGTTGAGATCAATCAACATTTGGGCTTTCAAATCTTTCTTGTTTGGATCAGTGGAATCATCCATTGAGCAGCAGAAGTTCAGCTTACTGATAAAGAGGCTTAGCTTCTCCCCATTTGACACATCCTTGAAGCTCGAGTGTGGAGAGATGGTCTCTCTCTCTCCCCCACCAGTTGGAAAAATGGCAGATGACACGCGTTTCACTACATTCAGACGACAGCTCCCTATGACACTACAGCTGTTGGTAAACTGCATCCCATTGCCAGTGTTTGCAGGAGAATCATCATTATTTTTGTTCCTTGCCAGGTCTTGAGAATCAGATTTCAGTGATTTTCGAGGAATTTTCGAAAGGATTTGCTTAAGCATAGTGAGTTTGTAACAAATCAGAACTCCTCTTTGCTTCAATACCCAATCTAAAGCCTACATTGCACACAAAGGAAATCACGCGGTATGTTAGAGTATAAAACCTTTTTCAGAGTAAATCTTGAGCTTTTGATTGAGTTGTTTACTTAACATATTATCAAAATCTTGTTGACCTAGAGGCCACGAGTTCAAACCTCACCCACACGGCCACACCCAGTTCACAAAATTATGTTCACGGCGTGTTAGAGTATACAATCTTTCTTACGGCAATCTTGAGTTTTTAGTTAAGTTAATTCCTTAATAAGGTATAGCAAGAAAACACTGAAATTTCAGAACAGGGACCAAAAAACTATATTGTCCACAAAAATGTTCACAGTGCATGTAAAAAAACTCAGATCTGATGCAAAAGTCATCAAGTAACAAGCACAAGAAGAAAGAGTTGAAGAAATTAATGGGATTTTTCCATAAAGACTAGTAACATATTTCACTACATCAAAACTAACAAATAAAAAACCAATCTTTGACACATTTTTAGCACAACAAAACACTGAATTGCTTAGAGATTCAAAGTTTAATTAGTGTCGGTGAGTTCAGACCCCAAAAAGATTCAGAAATTTCCCAAATGGGGATAAATCTTTGGAGAGGGATAGAGAGAGACCTGAAAATGGCATGGATGAGATAATTACTGGATCAGGAGCAGAGTGACAAAGAAAGAATGGCTATCATGCTCTTCTTTTAGCTTTGGATTGAAGAAGACAGAATGATGGCTGCCATGGGTTTTGGAGCAGGAAAAGGCTCCATTTTCTCTCAACTTTTTCTTTTTTCCCTCTTTCCTCTTTTCTGGGGCACACATGAAATGTTTAGCAGCAGCAGGCAGCAGCGCAGCGCAGTGTTTTTTTATTTATTATTTCTTTGATTTTATCTTTCTTTTTTGTCTATTATACACAGCATTCACTCATCAAAAATGCTAGGGGTACACCATTTGGGGTACCCCATTTGTACCCTCCTCCATCTCCACCACACAAAACAAGAGAGAGAAAAAAAATTAAAAATAAAAAAATAAATGAAAGATTAAGATGCATGGTGTACGAAATGGGGTACCCCACCTCTTCACTCATTCATGGGTACCATTCACACACTCTCTCTCCCATAATTGATTCACTGTACGAAATATTTCCATTAATTCATGTCATAATCTTAGTACGGAGTAAAAAAAAGCATGGCATCCTCAGACCCGGTCATACGGTTACTAAAAAGAGATAAATTGAATTTTGATCACAGAATGATAGCAAATAATGAAACCTACACCTGATACTTAAAGAGACCATATGCTTAGCAGAATTGCCTCGCAAGACAATTGCTAGAAATTGAACTTGTATTTTAACCCTTGACTTCATAAATAATACGAGTACTCCGTATTCCTTCCATATTTGAAACATTTTTTCTCTTTTCTTTTTGGAATGTTTAAAATATAAACTTTACATTTTGGAACATTTTTTTAGAAACTCGATACTTTCTTTTAAGACTCAGTTTGGTATACAGAATTTAATCACAGAATTATAGTTGGAGACTTCAAATTCAAATCTTTTTTTTGATAGCACAAAAATATGTTAACTTCGAATTAATGTTTAATTCCAAATTTTTCAATTCCACATTTCAAATTTCATTAAATTAAATAGCAAACAAATAAAATTCACAATTTGAACTCCACGGGTCAAATAAAATCAAATGGATTTTTTTGAGGTCATAATAAAGAAAAAAGTCTTATAGACTTTGTGCCATTCAGTGTGTTTGAAATATAACTTTTCATGCTGCTTTGACTTCTTTGACTTACCTTAAATTATTTGACTAACCAAATAACCCAAATTAAAAATTAAAAACTATAAATTAAATATTAAAAATAAAAAAGAAAAGATCAAATATTAAAAATTAAAGATTACAGATAGGAACAAAATATTAAAATTTAAATTAAATATTAAGAATTTAAAGTTTAAAACTCAGAAAAAATTAAAAAGTTAAAAATTATAAAACCAAAGTTAAAAATTAAAAATAAAAAATTTTGAAAAATAAAAATTTAAAACTAAAAATTAAATATTAAAACATCAAACTTCAGATTTTATATTTTAAAAAATAAAAATTAAAAGTTAAAAGTTAAAAACTAAAATAAGATATTTAAAATTAGTAGTTAAACTTTAAAAATAAAAAAATAAAATTCAATGTGTGTGTGTATATGTATGTATGTATGCATGCATGCATGCATGTGTGTGTTCAAATCTTGAAATAGCTTTATAAAAATACGGAGTACTCCCTCCGTCCCCAATTTGATTACAAATTGCGGGTTACGGAGTAAAATTTCCTACTTTTTGAAAGCATTTTATTTACAAATTGGTATATCAATAAGATATAAAAATTACATATTAAAAAACTACGTCAAAAGTTCTACAAAACAAGAGGTGACAAGATTATTTTATTTTATCAAATATTTAATGAAATCGCGTAAACAAACAAAAATTATCGAGAGGAGAGAGAAAAAATGTAATCTATTTAGGGACGGAGGGAGTATATAATTTCATCAAACTTTTTTTAGCAATTTGCTAACACATCAAGTAGTCAAAATGACTAAACTTATTAGTTATTCGGAATAACTGACATAGACAGCCAATTCCATATCAATTCTATATCAATACGACATATAATTTTGTGTCACCAAACAAAGCATTCGAAATTATCATACGGAGTATAATTCAATATCAATTTCTTAATCATACAAAACAAATGATGATTTAAAATTTAAGTAGTTATCAGTTCTATCCAATTCAATTCCGTAGAATTAAATTCTAACATAGTCTTAATTTCGTGTACAATATGGTGCGGCCTAAATAAATTTCAATAGCATGCTTTTCATTTTCATCCATTTTTGTAATATTTTTCTTAATTTTTGTGAAATCAAGGCTGTTAACACGACACGGAGAAAATGAGCACTTGTGTAATTGATGGTTTCTACCTCTCCTGAAACCAAACTATCATATTTTTCAAAGATGTAGGGAGTACTAAATAATCATGTAATCTTGAAATATTTATCTAAAATTTTAAATTGCTAATAATATTGACATCAACTTTTAGTAGTGTAAAGTTTAATACTCGGTATGATCGTAAGATGAGGCCCCGTTCCGTTCAACTTATTTTTTCTAATCTGATCTGATTTTAATAAGTTCTGACCTATTCTGATATGATCTGATTGGATTTGATCTGATTTTATTGGATCTGATCTGGTCTGATCTGATTGGATCTGATCTGATTGGATCTGATCTGATTGGTCTAATATGATTGAATCTGATCTGATCTGATTGGATCTGATCTGATTAATTATGATTTGATTTAAAATTAGTTAATTCATATATTAGAATAATCATTCATATTAAAATGTAATAATATTTTGTTGGTAAATTAGAATATTAATTTAATATTTTAATAATTACTTCATATATACATTAGAATAAATATTTAATTTATATATACATCAAAAAGTAATCAAATTTAGATAATCAATATATAGAAGGGGTAGTATTTTTATTAAAATATCTCATCCTTATAAAAGATCAAAACTTTAGAAACTCAAATTGCAGGTAGCAATAAAAATGTATTTTAAAAGTAGAATTAGATTGACATTTTCAATGTATTTTAAAAATAATTTTGTTTGGCATCTAATAATTATTCTTTTTCATTTTTAAGAATAATAATAGTAATGCTGATAATAATAATAATAATTCTTGATGGGATCTGATCTGATCTGATTCAATTTGATCTGATCTGATCTGTTCTGATCTGATCTAATCTGATTTTAATTAATAAGAATAAGAAAAAAAAGTTGAGCAGAACGGGGCCGTAGTTTGTATATCAAAAACATATATCACTAAATGTCTAACTTTTTGTGGCCCTTGAATATATCCTCATTTTATAAATCTTAATACATAAAATAGTTATATATATTGGATATTGTAAAAATAAATGCATCCAATCATAGTTCATATGAAAGTATCTGAGTTTGTACACATTTCACATGCTCATCTTAGATAACACAACTCCATAAAAGTTTAACTCTATCTCTTTGTTTTGAAATAACTTTACATTCTCCTTTTTTAGCACGTCTAAAAATCAATTTGTCATTTTTTTACTTTCTTTTTTAAATTAAATATGTTGATATTATTCATTTTCACTTTTTAAAATAATTATAATCACATATGTTTTTATTTTTTTCATATCCTTTGAACATTTTTATTAATTTCTGAGAAGTTAAAGTACGAGATTCTATGAGGGAGGGAACGGGTATATTCTTAACTCTTCATCTTATAGAATAAACTAAATTCGTACCCGTGCGATGCATGGTCAGAAATTTAATTAAAAATTTATGTAAAAATGTTATTACTACGTATAAAAGAATTATTGAAATAAAAATAACGATTACAAAATATGAATTTTTATTTTTTCACATTGATCCCAATTTCTTCTTTTTCTTTTTCTTACACTCCCATAATTTATAAAGTATCATTTTCTTTTTGAAGCTACCCCCTTTATTTCTCTCCTTTCTTTCCCAACTCTTTTCTTTTACTTTTTGTTTTTTCTTTCTTTTCTTGTTTTTATTCGTTATTTTTTCCTCTTTTCTTTTGCTTCTTTTTTTGAAATCCTTTTTTAACTCTTTATTTCTTTTTTATTCATACGCACAAAAAAGAATGAATCCGAGTTTAAATTAATTTTTACTTTTTTTATTAAAAAATATATAGAAATGAAAAACAAAAATGATAAGAAAGAAAAAAAGATTAATTAGTTATTTTAATTTTATTACTATTATTATTATTTTTTGAACATTAATTGGCTTACTTTATTTAATTACTTTCTTTTTATTGTTTACGACGGTAACAAACAAAAAATAAGATAAAAAAACACAATAAATACCATTTTTGAATTAAAATGATCAATAAAATAACACCCATTAATCAATAAATTAAAATAACTAAACTAAGAATAAGTGACACATAAAAGAGAACAACCCAAAAATGAATCTAAATTTCAAATAATTTCTTACTTATTTTATAAAAAATAAATTTTTAAAAATAACAAACAAAAAATTAAAAGCAAGCAAAAAATATAAGACAAAATAATATAAAAAATAAAAAAATAAAAAAAATAAAAAAATGGTTATTTACAGAAAATATAAACAAAATTACAAAAAAATTCACAAAATAACACATAGCCAAACAAATTGATAAAATTAAAATATCAAGAAAAAGATTAAAAAATCAAAAAAATCAAAAACAAAAAACAAAAAAATAAGATTGAAATAATATGAAATAAAAAATGGTATGCTAAGCCTTATTTTTTGTTTGTTTTTTTCTAAATTTTTTCTTGTCTTCTTTATTTTTCCATTATTTATTTATTTAGGTCTTATTTTATTCACTTGTTTTGTTTAATTATTTACAATAAAGATTAATACAGACAAAAAACCTTAACAAAAAAAACTTAAATTAAGCAAACAAAAAATTAAGGCGTATGGTTTGATTTTTTTGTTTAATTAAATTGATTAAGTATAAAATTAAATGGTTATTAATAAAATAGATAAAAGATAAAGGACAAAATAACAAAACATATAAATAAAGGAAAAAAGAAAGAAAAACAAAAAAAAAAGAAAACAAAACAAAGAACCAAAGTAAGAAATGAGAAAAGAGGGAAAATGAATAAATAATAAATAAAAATTTCAAAAGGAACTAAAGAAAAAAATAGCAAATGGAAACAAACAGAGAAAATTAAAATAGTGAAAAGAATTTTGAAAAGGAAAAAAAA